GAAAGCTTAACTCTTTATTCGCTTCTTCCCCCAGAAATAGCCTGGGTTCGCATTTGTATGTCATTGCTTTCAACGCAATGTTGTTAAAGAAGGCTAGTAATATTCAGTGTTCAGAGGATATCGGGAATGTTGCAAAATGTGCTTCAACTTCGACATACTCAATCCTAGCTTGCAAATGGCCACTTCCCACTGTCAAGTTGCGTGTCCTCCGAACAAATTCAATAAATGAGTCGAAAAAAGAAGTAATCAAAATTTAGGTTAAAATGCTAACCTGCATAGCATCGATAAAAATGTCTTCGTCGTGACCACGTCAAATTTAAGGTTTGGGTGTAAGAAACGGGTCAGCGCAACTGGGATCTCCATCGTGTCGTTGTTCTCCAGGACCATGCCATCCGTTCGGCGGCGATATTCGAGTACGCATGTGTCTCCGTAGAAACGTGAGTCACCTTCATCTGAACATACGAAATTTCTATAAAAAATGCCAAAACGCTGATAGTAGCACAGATTCAGTGTAGCATCCATCACACCGATGATGCTATCTTGGTCGGGCGAAATTAACAAACAAAAAAGAGGCATCTAATCGAAGAATTCAATCGTTTCAAGGAAATGAGCGCAATAGCAGATGTCATGAATCACCAGCAGTTTCTGCTAATTGCCCATATTTATACGCATTTCTGCCTGTGCCAAGAACGCAAGAGTATATTTTTTACTAGTTTAGCATAGTTTACCGTAGATCCTAGCTGAGACACAAGTCGCGAAATCGATACCTTACTGAATTATACACCAGTAACGCCAAGACGGCCCGAACAATATTACTAAGATACTTGCACACATCGGACTCAGTTATGCCATGCCCCTCTTCAGCCCCGAGCTGTATGCTCTCAGGTGGTGATTATCATCATTTTGGTACGTGCGTCGTCACCTCTTCGTGGCCTCTCGACTGGTCGTTTGCTTTTCTGGTATACACACTGACAAGCGGCAGTCACCAGCTACCAGCAAGGCATGCCTTCTCCATCGAATTTTACACTTTGTACATGTCCGCAGTAATCACCCTGAACTCCGCTTGCTGCTGATGAAGAGCCTGATTGTCCTTTATGGACATGAAGAAACACATCAGATTTCCTTCACTCCATAGCTCTTCTAGCCTATGTTCGTTCTTGAACTTCCGGAGAATTTGGCTCAGTTATTATTGCGTCTTATCCAAATTTTTCCCGACGCCAGATCCCGACGCGTATTCGCCGTTCTTGTGTGCATATTCGCTTGATTTTTATCAACCGCTGTTAAACAGGCACTGGCTTGCATCACCCGAGCTTGGCCGAACAAAATGCGGTACAGTGTCTTTTCGACTTGCTTGGAGCTGCTAGTGTTTGTGCTTCGCTGTGCCTCGACACTGGTGATGAACCCGATGGCACAATGTGCGTTCGAAATTTTAGTGCCCAGTGTGTCTGCAGTTCACATTATTTATTGCAGCTAGCTGCGTCCTTCATCGGCCCATGAGCTAAGTGATCCACCGCTAAGAGTAAAAATATTCATTTTTTCATTTTTTGCAACCAATGCTTTTATCCGTGCATTCCTACCAAAACATAATATATGTGTATGACTAGTTCGTTGCACCCCCTAAATCACGATAAAGTGCGTGAATCGGGAGTTCGCAGAAGCCAAAACTCTAAAGCTATTTAAATTTGAGTAAAATCAGGTATTCTGGAAATCATTTATATCGTACACTATTTCATGAACGGTAGTCTTACGCAGATTTGTTCAGTTGATAAATGGAAGAAATCTATCATGCAGTGTTCGAGTCCTTCGAGCGGTCTGATTTTCATGCTTTTCATTAAGTATTCTCAAATAATCATTTTGATATTCCCCCAGTATATGGTCTTCGGTTACACGACATTTTTCGGATAAAAAGGAACTGAGATCCTTTTTTTTTGCCTTCGACCACTGACCAAATCGCTCAATCAAAAGGGCAAAATCAAATGGAAAAGCATTCAAGTTAATCAGTGTGTTATGCTAAATTAGTCGAAAAGGTCCCAGGAATTCATAGAAGAACGATATGGCCGGAATCTCAAATGCAGGCAAGGACTGGACTGAAATCCACGACATTTTAAACCCAAAAACGAGTATTTTTGGGCAGTGGTTAAAAGTCAGTGTTTGGTTGCATAGGGAAATTCACTGCTACGCACATTTTGCGAGTGCTCTAAGACCAGACAAAAAGATGGACAAATGAATTTGGTTTGTTGCAGCTCAAAAAGCAGCCAATTCCGTTCGGATGAAATTTTTTAAATTTGTCTAGTGATGACGCATATAGCGCCAAGGCAAAACGAGATAATCCGACAAGTCGAGGATTATTTTCAAAAGATATTAAAAAAACCAATCCGCATAGTACTGAAAGCGCTATTTTCTGCTCCTCTTGAAGCTTAAAGAATCGGATCAGACCAAGCACACTTAGAGGCTTCACAGATATCACGATGATGTGTCACACGACAGTATTTCATCCAAATCTTACAAGCTAATAATGTTGGTGAATTGACGCAGTCTTGTAACACACAATGCTGTGTGTGCAGGATCGCATTGCCAACAGTAGATTCTCGAATTCACAACTACCAGAACCCAATTCGGCTCAGCCGCATAACTATGCACTCATTTTTGAGTTCGGGTCTCTCTTTCCAATTTCTACCTCCATGCAGCGTCTTGGCTTCACTGCATTCAATAATTCCGTCCTCTTCCCCCTGTTACGACCCTCGAAACTTAATCCACTATGCCCTCACGCTGTCTTGCCCCGCCTCTAATCCTATGTTTCCTGTCGCCAGTCATTGCAATTCGCCTCCCGATCCGGGCTAGCAGAGCGATTTTTAGTAACTATCTTCGAAATTGAGGGATAAAGCTTGCAATAGCGCAGTAAAATTACTATGTGAAAAGCGGTGAATGAATCAGATGGGGATTTAATAACTCAGAAGGGCACAGTAATGTGACGAGGAGAAATGAGGAATGAAGTCAGTGCTGCTGTATTCACGGATGTACGGACAATTCTAAAATTTAGCACCACGGCTGAAAACGAGGGAACGGGCATACCACTGGACAAACGTGATTGGTCTGCAGTGCGTTTTTCAAACGCGTAAAAAAAGTGAACCTTCGATGATTGGTGCCATGCCATCAAACTGGACGATCTTCTCCCCCCTGGGGCCCTTCTCGAGTAAAGTATAATCAAAAAGTGGCTCCACTTTGACAGTTCGGACATTGTCCAGTGTGGACTGCTCTCTTGTGTATCCGAAGCCCCAGTGCTGTCTCGAGAAGGATGCCAGCGGACCAGCGCGGTAGATACCCTCAAAAATCTGGTAGCGGTCCGCCGACGAATATCGCATTATGCGATACTGGTCCGCACGGGACTCAGTGAACCGTTCCGTTGACATCCAGCATTAGGAAATAACTTCTTTGCTTCCATTCAGCATATTTATAACCATCAACTGCATTTATGCAAATCTGGCATTGCGTGTGTTTGTGTGTGTGTGTGCGTCTGTCTGTTTGTCTGTGTATGTGTGGTAGGCCTGAATTTTGCAAGCATTGAATGAGTAGCATTATTTTCAGTTTTCATGATGTTGCTAGGTTGGTTTCAGCATGCTCAGCGTCACACGGGTATATCTCAGTTCACTTATTTTTTAAACCGTTTGACCGGTCGATCCAAGCAATCGTAGTACCCAAGTTTTAGGCCATCAAAATTAAACCGAAGAAAAACAAAAATTTTGTTATTTTACAGTTCACTGTATTAGCAAAAAAAAAAAACTCGCTCATAAGAGCTCTGCAAGCGCCGAGGCCAAGCTGTTTCTATGGCAGAAAAACCCCTCAAGTACTACCGCTGCGATGGTGGCCTAAAAAAACTGATAAAGCAAGAAGCAATTAAGAAATCACGGGGTTAAAAAACTCAATAGGTGTGACGTGAGCGGCGCAGTGATAAAATCTTTGATTCTGAAAATGAGGTTGATTTTTGAGAATAAAATTGCAAGTTCGCAACTCTTCAACGAAATACTCCCTAAAATGTTTGAAATTCCAACTATTCTCATTGCCATTTTTTTCTCTCTCACTTTTCAAATATCTGAAGTGCCTTTTCTCGAAGGTCAGGTTCATGTGAGTCGGTAGTAAAACCTCTCTGTGCGCAAAGCCTTTAAAAATACCATGAAGGGGATGAAGTAAACAAGGTTATAACCAAAGCGATAAGGCCAAACAACACACTATCTGGTTTGGGGTGCTTTAAAAATTTCATTGTAAATTGGTGTCGCCCGATTACCGGTTAATCTTGGGAATACAGTATGCAGAAAAAAGCCCGCACTTGAATGAATAATAAGCTGATGCCTAGTATAATCAATCACACATTCTGTGATTTGTGGCTGTTCTAGGGGAAACACAGTGGGTGAATACAACGGTACATATGAGATGTGGTTGTTTTTTTGTATGGGTAATTTCTTAATCTACCTCTTTTCTAGTTTAGGCGGAAAACTTGACTAGGTATTGCTTCAGCAGAAGGCGAAGGGGTTCAGGAGAAGCCCAGTTTACCACTTGGGTGCCAGTAGCAATCGACAAGTTGTCGACGGCTCCCTCTTTCGAAAGTTTCTTACAAGCAGACTCATGGCGGATTTGACTCCCTGGTCTGTGCTAGTACCAATTTATCAATCACAGGTGGATCAAGGGCGGAATCCTGGGGTGAGCGGGGAGGTAGGAAAGGGGGAAGACGAATGCGGCTCCTGGCGCGGCGACGACCGGAGGAGGGTTGGGCACTTAAGAGGGAGCGACGAGGAATGCGGAAGAGAGTTTTCTTCAGTTTTACCTTTAGACCGAGGACTTTTGTAGAATTGTGCCATCGCCCTTCTCCCTCCCTCATCCTCTTCTCCCTTTCCCCCCTCCCCGACGGATTCGTTTATGTTACCAATGAAACGAATGAACGATTTACAGAGGGATTGATCGCGCCCAAGTTAAACCTAAGAGGGCTTAATTGAGCAGTTGAAAATTCAGTCAGAGAGACAGAGAGAGTTTTTTGATGCCCGGTTAAATCTGTAGCTTGTATTTCGCCATGAGACCATAGGTCAGCTGTGTCTGTCCGCGATGACTGATTTTGGGTCATTTTCAGGAGCCGTTGCTTGTGATCTTGCTTTTCGTGGTCATTTATTTCACACTTCACGATCAATTAAAAGTATGTTTTGTGTTTTTTAACAATTGC